AATATTAGGGTTTATATATATATATATATTTTTTTTTTTTGAATGCACAAGCATGAAGAAGAAGGGGTAACAGGAAGTAGTTGATGAAGCTCTTAATAATATTATTTTACTCTTGAATTTTGTCTGGTCTTCATCAAGCAGCTTCCCTACCACTGAACAAAAGGTATATAAATCCAGAAAGTATAAATATTTGGCATTTCTGCAGTCAAATGCTGATGGGAGCTCTGATAATTACTGATTTATGTGGCATCGAGATTTTCTGCCACCTCTTAAACCAAACCTTTATTTATTGAACTTTTGCTCTATGATCAACCAATGACTTGCTTAATTAAAACTGTTTATAATATTGCAGCAACTGACAGTGAAATATGCCTGAAAATAATCTGATTCTGGTCCTGAAAACTTTTTAATTTCTTCTGTTTGAAACCACTTATTTGTTTTTGAATGAAATAGAAATATACGAATGACAAAATAAACAGAAAACATGCAAACACAAACAGTCAAGAGAAATAAGAAAACACGCGATTTATGTGGTTCACTCAATTAATAGTTACGTCTAGCAGAGTTAATATTATTTCAATACTGTCTTACCTCTCTTGTTTACAATGAAGTAATTTGCCTTATTATTTTAATACTGTCTAACAGAGTCAATATTATTTCAATACCGTCTCACCTCTTTCGTTTACAGTGAAGTTACAATGAAGTAACTTTTTTAATTTTTTCTGTTGAAACCACTTAGTTGTTTTTGAACGAAATAGAGATATACGAATAACAAAATAAACAGAAAACATGCAAACACAAATAGTCAAGAGAAAGAAGAAAACGCGTGATTTACCTGATTCACCCAATTAACAGACTACGTCTAGTAGAGTCAATAGTATTTTAATATTGTTTCACCTCTCTCATTTACAATGAAGTAATTTGTTTTATGATTACTATCGCTTATTACAGGAGATAAATGTGTTTATATACTAGGTTTAAAATACTAAATCTAGTATTACAAGAATTCATATTCCTATGTTTAAAATCAATAAAGAATTAACAATTTAAAGAAATCCTTCAACGGTTATACATGCAAAAAGCCGAAAACCATCTACGGGCTAGGGGGCATTGTTCTCTCGACCCTCGCCCACTCAGCGGGACCTCGAATGTGTCTGCATAGCTCATTAATACTGAAGTGGTCCATAACTCCAACAGTTTTCAGATAACTGTTGTTTGGGGCCTGAACAAATTGACTTCTTCATTTTGTTTCATCCTGGAAAAAAACTGGCTTCCTGCAGAAGATCGAGAAATGATGGCTGTAAAGCAAAGCAGATGCAGTAGCAGTTCAACGATTGTAGAATTGTTATGCTGATACTGATTTTTTTTTTTAATCCCAATTATGCAGACAAATTGAAAACAACAAAAGAGGGTCTTTCCCTGATAAATTATTTTCTGAAAATAATCAATAAGCATTTCTTTTTGTCTCCTAAACCAAACCTTAGATATATACAGGAGATGACATTAGAAAAAAAAAAATTGTTCATACTGGTCATATGAAATAGACAAAAGCATGGAAGTGACTTAATCTCATCGCATTCTCCCATCTCTTCAATAATTTTCACTTCAAGCTGATGCCACACTGCTCCTAACACTCTCTTTTCCACCCACTTCTCTGACATATTCGAGATCTGGGGCCCGGATTGAAGTAGTAGTAATAATCAAATCTTCCATTATTGATCAGAGAAGAAAGTATAAATAAAGATCATGAGGGAAGAACCAGACAAGGTATATGATCATCAGGTAAAGCTTTAGAATTTGCAGAACACCAAAAGCGAAAGTTCTAGTGCTGTACACATGGCTTGTTTCTGTTGACACAAAATGGACCATGGCTAAATCCCTGACTCGTGAATCTAGAGTAGCCAATGAACATAGCCAACAAGATTTTAGTCAAGGCGTTTGCAGCCACAGGTAGTGCTGTACACTTGGCTTTCTTCTGTTGAAACTTATTATTCCTGGATATGGACTATCCAACAGGTGCCAGCTGCTGCTAACTGACACTGTCAAAGAGGGGCTTCTATTTTCCCCATGAATGAAGTAACCCATGCAAATATCTGCTTTACGTAAGCTTAATTAATTAAGTTTTTTAGGGTTCATGCATCAATGTTTCAAATCAAGGGCAGCTGTCTTTGTGGATAAACCTCATATATAATTATCAACAACTCATCATGCATTTTACTTGCTAATTCAAAGATTTTTCGCTTCCTATCCATTCACGTGTCAACTTGTTTGATTTCCTCGATAATCCCAGTTGATTAAAAGTTCTAATTATTTGGATATATTTTTAGCCATGTCAAAAGCTCTCTGGTACTGATGCTCAACGTTCAAGATGAACAGCTACTCTTTTATGAATCCTGAGGTGGAGCTGGTGAGAAATTAGCTCCAATTTTCCTTGATTCTTTACCTACCTTGATGACTATATATATTTTGGTGATCGGTGGTGTTTAGGTCAGTTTACGCGTACTTCAACTAATCTCTCGGGACTCTTAAGTTGACAGTCAAGTAAATCCCCTCAGTAGCTACCCCTATTAGCAACCCAGACGGATCGAATTGATAAAAATATTTTGAATAATATAGCCAAGAGTTTTAGTTGACCGTTAGACTACTCAATGGTGGTTTGATGGCTAAATATTGTTATACTCTTAATTTCTATCAATAAAACCAAAATCAAAAGGGTTTACTACATTAAGGATAAGCATAATATATTATAAGCAATTGAAGAATTTTCTAGTCTTGTTGATAGTGTCAAAAGCTAGCTCACTTTATGTATTTATTTTATGAATAATTATTTAGTAAAATAATAATAAAAAGAAGAACATTTTAAAATTATCAAGCACTTTAAATGGCTCCTTCAATGAATGTTGTCATGTGAAGGTTCTACTCTTGCTAGCCTTACTTGATACATATAACATTATAATGTGATGTTATATATACATATATTATATATAGTGGGCATGTTTGGCTTATTATTTATGCTCATATTCCCAATCCTATTCTCCAAATAATGTTTGACACATTATTCCAGAAATATTACTCTATTTTTTAATTACTTTTAGACCCCATAAGGTTATTAATTTCATTAAATACCCCCTGAAAAAAAGTTTAAAAATGAACAAAAACACCCCCGTGACCTATATTTACCAGATTCCGGTAACCATCGTCGGTGGTAGTCGAAATCTGCCACAACGATGAATTACCAACAGGAACTGGCTGGTAATTCACCGATCTGGTTGTCAGCAATGGTCAACAACGGCCATATCTTTGGCTGTCGCTGACAACCAAAGATAGCCGTCGTTTTAGCCTTTTTCGACCGTCGCGGCCACAACATGCAGTAGATCTGGCCTTTTCCGGCTAGATCCGTGGTGGATCTGGCTGGAAAAGGCCAGATCTACTGCATGTTGTGGTGGATCTGGCCGGAAAAGGCCATAACGACGCGTTACGACACATATCCAACCGGTCTATGTCGTAACGCGATTTTTCGGCCAGATTCTGGCGGTGGTGGCCAGAATCTGGCATTGCAGGTGATCGGGGTATTTTTGTCATTTTATATATTGGGTTGTTTAATTAAATTAAACCTAGGGGAAATTTTAAATTTTATCTCGTAATACTCCTCTATTCAACTACCCAATATTATTCCCAAAATCATATCCAAAATAATAAACTAAACGCACCCATATAATATTCTCGTCATATCGCAGTCCAACTAGGTATATATTATTTGCTTTGTTTTAGAATCAAGCCTTCAAATATTCACAACTAAGAAGAAAAAGTACTACATTCTCTTTCGGATAGGTCTTGAAAGGAGAAGGAAAGTTGGACTACCAACAGACATCTATTATTGAATTCACCCGACCCGATAGAACTAATTTTGAGAACGTCCAATGCCAAAGTCATTGAACGGGTATGTCACTAGTCCTTAAAACATACTATGTAATAGTACTTTATTGGTTGGGTGACACTTAAGCATTTTACCAGATTGTATCAATCTACTCTTGCGTGATTCATCTTAAAGAATATACTCAGGAGTGGGTATAGGAAGGACGATTTCAAAACAGACTCCCTGTTCATTATATAAAAAAGATCACCAAGATTACAACCCGCCACATTGAGTAGTGAGCCCACTTTGATACCGTTTGTCATATCATAAGTCCAAAGCAAATAATATTTGCTTAGTTAGACCAAGAATATGGCAATTTGTACATGAAAAGTGATTTTTAGCCCTCACTATTTTTCTCTTTAGCTCCATCTTTAAGTTTAAGTGGAAATATAATTGTAATAAAAAAAAATAAAAAATTTATTCATCTTCTTCTTTCATATTTTTACTTCAAAGCTTTATAGTTTCAGTTATCGAAATCAAAAGTAAATTAAATCAATAAAAATTAGGAATAAAACATGAGACAAAATCAATATATCCTATTGATGTCGGCTAAAGACAAAAATAATAGGGCTAAAAATCACTTCCCTTTATACATAATTTTAAGTATTTGAAAGACGCACTCACTCACTATTTGAAGACGAACCCTAAGCCATATCTGAGTCAGGGTTTTGTCATCCTTAGCAACTCTATTCTATGAGGCCTTGTAACATTAAGATTTTGTGGGAAAACATCTTAAAAATCGCCATTTTATATAAGTTAATAGGAAAAAATATTTATCGGCTTATATCATATCAATAATGTTACCTATATATAATTACTTTTAGATTGGTCTGTTTTGATTGTTGATGTGTCAACATCACAAAAAATTAACGGGCGAATGATTTGGGCTTTTTTTTTAATGATGGTGCACATAGTAATAGATGGAGGTGCATCTAAAATATATCTTGTTCTTTAAGTACACCAAAGCCCAGCCCACCAAACTCAAGCTTAACTCTTCTCAAAACAAGCCCAATTCTGGGCCCATTACACTTTCCTTCTTGGCCCATTACTCCTTTCTTCTTCTCCAAGTCGAATAGCTTTTTCCCTGAGCTTAATTTTAACTAAAATATAGCTACTGAAGAACTCATTGCTTCTCTTAACAATGGAGTTCGTTCTCGATGAAGGAAAAGACCTCAACAAAGACTGCTCAAATCTCATTTTGGTTCGTTAAATTTATCATCTTTCACTGCAATTACAACTTTACCCATTTTTTTTTTTTTTATTTTTATAATTTATTGTTTTTAATTTAATTTTTGAAATTCGGATCACAGCCTGCGTTATCGATCGGAAATGTGGGCCAGCTAGCTGTTGATCTGCTCGTATCGTCCACCGGAGCGGAAACAATCGGATACTTGGACGACCCCTTAGTGCTTCCTTGTGTTGGCAACGACGCTTATCGGCCGAGTCCACGTGGCGACCTTGCTCTGCCTCTTCAAGGTTTATTATTATCCTTTTTTTTTTTTTGGTGATTGTTGAGTTCAGTGTTTTATGATTGTTTTTGTTTTTGTAGCTTATGAGTCATCTTCTAGCGGACTGAATCTTGTCCAGCAAAGATCTCCAGTTATTAAGGTCTTTTCTTTTTGTAATATTAAGCTTCAAGTTGATATTTTTTATTTGTAATGAATGGCGATGGGTTTATTTCAGGGGAAGTTGAAAGGACTAATTAGTTTATGAATTCTATTTGGGAGTTGAGTATCTTGAGTTATGAATATTGAGATGAGTGTAGTGCTAACTTGTGGTTGGAGAAAAAAATTGCATGGTAGTGTTGAAGATACTGTGATATGGTGTGCTTAGAATTTTGAGTAAATAGAGCTTTCTATTGAGTGGGGTAGAAAAGTTCTGCTTTTTAATGTAATCATAAATACTTTGATCATTTATACGCAACTAAGAGGAGTTTAGATGGTGAAGATTATGGATGACAATGTAGTATATTCTCATAATCTTTTTCTTTTCCCTAAAAATGAAAATGAAAAAATGAGGAGCAACTTTGCTTATTCTCTCAGTGGCTATCCTGGATGAGGGCTTGAGTAAAATGTGTGGTTTTCACTAGAAATTTAGCTGTAGCATCTAGATTAACCTCTTGCTTCACTTTGTGTTACAAAATAAGACTTTACTTTTTATCCTGAAGTATACAGGCTTATTTTCCTGATGATTTTTATACAGGGGATGATGGTTGAATATGCTAAGAACTTGGCAGACTTTGCTGCTGCTAGTGGAAAGAAACATGTCGTTGTACTTTCTGGCTTAGACTTTGGGAGGTTGCAGAGAATTGATATGTCAAGGTATATATATATTTTGTAAAAGTAATTTTTTTCAGGTCTTTTATTAATAAGCCTTTGGTTTCTAGGAAACTAAGCATTTCAAGGCACCAGGTCCACCAATTATTAATCTTTGAAACTGAAATTTCTACTTATTGGGTTCTTTTACCTGATTTGTCAGTAGATGGCAAATGAAAACAATTTTTGTCTGGTCTCTCATCCCAACTCCAAGAGCAAGTGATCTTGTGTACATTTGATAATCAATGAATTTGGATTTTGTGTATGTTAAAGCTAAGTATTGTGATTCCGAATAGAGCATTTTAAACAAAGTTTTCCAACCAAATATGCATTGAAAGAAATCTCTGAGAAATGAATTTAATCATGATTGAAACCTGCTTGAAAACAAAACAACTTTTCCACAACAGTTATGGCAAGACTAATAAATTGGTGGTGTTCTATATAAAAGATTCTCTTGTGCGGGAGCTCTTCAGCAACCAGATGATACTGTGCTTGTAGTTGCTTTGCATTTTAATTACAATGATTAATCGTTTTGCAATTGTTTCTTATCAAAAGCATTTTGTTGTCATATTAGTGGTTTGCAGATATATTACTTATCTAGCAAAAATGCTGATGGGACAGATGACGACTGTGAACAACTTGGATGGAAAAGACTGCAGGAATACAACCCACACCAGAGGTGTTGGGAATATGTTAGCAATTTAGCTGAAGGAAACTCTGTCGAGGACGTTAGTTTGCCACTTGAAGATGAACTAGAAGAAGAAGACTACTATCCAAGTTTGCCATTTGCTGCGCTATTTTCATGTTTCAAGGTACAAATTTCAAATTATAATGACCAGTGATTCCTATCAAGTGCTGCTTTTAATTTATATTCTTTATTTCTTTTTCATTTCATCATTTTTGTAATTCTTTTTATTTCTTTCTCTTAGTCTTTAGGGTTGCTCCTGGCATATGAACAAGTTTAATTTCTCCTTATCATATACCACTACTAATATTATATTTATGACACTTCTCTGCGTGAAAATTGTATGTTGCTGATGTTAGTGCATCAATCAATTGCAACACCATTTTTTTCTCCTTTGGAATGAGTAAAAATAAAATTTAAACGAATGCAAAAGAGTAAACTTGTGCGCAGGTAGTATACTGGATAAGCCTCAGGCACTGTTTCAAAAAGAAAAAAAAATTGCAAAATCAGTCAAACATTAGTTTGAACACTAACAAAGAGTCAGTCACGTGTGCTTTGCAAAAATTCAGGACTGGAATAGAAAAGTTGTTTTTTACTCTAAAAGCAAATTTGACTAACAAGAGTTTCTTGGGTTACTGAATCAGGCCCGAGGTTTGAAGGTTACATGCTTGTTATGTTACTGTTCAGAAGGGGACAATATGTCTGAAGCTTTCCATCTGGCTGAGGCAGCAAGCAAACTCTTGAAGTTGAATCCTGACAATTTTCATGGTGAGTCTTAGTTTTGAGTTGGATACTAGCCTATATTCAATCTCCATGCCTCACCAATTCTTCTCTCTCCCTGAAAGAATAATAAACTTCTGAGGTAGTTGGAATGCAAACTATTGGCCTACCACTTGTTGCTCACTCATTTATTGAATTGAATCTGCCAGTTTTGTTGTAATCTTCATACATGCATCAATTTAAGAACTTGCAGTATCATTTCTTCATGCTATGGTTCTTAATGCTCACAAATGACTCTAGTATATAAGCCTATCATTGATAATTGGTAATCACCTGTCCTCTTAATTCTACATGGCTAAAGTCAACCATGTTTCATATGATTCGCTTGGCACGAAACGTCCTGAATGGCATTGTGTGAATAAAAACTGAGTTCTCTGGCCTAATACCTCGCAAAAAACTCCTGTTTTTCCTTTCATTACAACCATTTCTGAATAAATTTCTGGATATCAAGGTTAAATATAATTATTTTGCAACACAAACGTGCAATTTTTTGTCATATATGTTTTATGTAATTAATATATTCATATTGTTATCATGATACCGTATTTGTGATTGAATATGATTAAGTTGAAGTTTCAATTGACATCTTTTTATTTTCTCCTAATATAATGCCATTGATCATCATAATGTATTTATTGCATACAAAAGTTAAGACTTTCTTAAACACGAGGATACCTCTGCTATAAACCTGCTGATTTACGAATCATACTTACATTGCACTAATGGTTATTTTTCAGGTGATAATGGTGAGAAATGGATCATCCCATTTTCATGGATGACCGTCTATGGACCGCCTCCGGATATGTCTATCTTTTAGGCGTGATAGAGTTGACAATCTGAGTGACTAGTTATGTTTAATAACATCAACATAGTGATGGTTGTGGTGAGTATTCTCTCCTGGTTTGTACTCTGAATATCTTTACAGTCGTTTGGTCGAGAGAAAGGAATAGTTAGTCAGTTGAATCAGAGAAGAAAAAGATCTAGTTGATAAATTTTAGTTGTTTGTATATTCGGACAACAATTTTCTTTCGGGTTGAAAAGTACAAAAAAAAATTTAGGGTCTGATTGTTTCAATATTTTCCCCTATTCTATTCTTATTAGCGGTGTTCGGTTCTGAGTATCCTGTATTTTTTGAAGGAACCGGAGCCGGAACCAACAATTCCTTGAAATTTGGAACTGGAACCAACGGTTCAAGTTCCTAGGTACCTAGAACTGGAACCTGTAACAACGGTTTTGGTTATAAAATCTATGACTACCCAAAAATTTTTAAAATAGCAAAAAAACCCTTAAAAACTTACAAATGCCCCTCATCTGGCACTTGTTAACAAAAATAAAATTATAAATTATAAATTCAAAACTACAAACTCCGTTATTTTGTAAAGACAGATTCTCAAAAGTTAAACCAACTTACTTTAAAAGTTCTGAAATATAAATAAAAATGTATTCACGTTACTTTTTCTACAAAAGTTTTTATTAACCTTCCTATTCTTTAATTTTATTTTATATTAGTCTCGGTTCACGGTTCCAGTTCCTAACTATAGGAATCATTATTGGAATTGCACGGTAATGGTTCCAAAAATTTGGAATCGGAATCTATCCGTTGACGGCCAGTTCTGGGTAGAAACCGAAACCAAACCTTGGGTGCTTGTCGGTTTTGATTCTAATCGATTCTTTTGAACACTCCTAATTCTTATCATTTCTAAAATATACACTTGTTTCCTTATTCTAAAAGTACTGTTATATTTTATTAATTATTTTTAATCTCCTAAGTTTGTTAATTTAACTAAATACTACCCCAAAAAAAGTTTAAAAATTACCAAAAATACCCCCATCACCCATATTTACCAGATTCCAGCTACCATTGTCGGAAGGTGATCAGAATCTGGTATAATAATGCACTATCGACTGGATCTAGCCGATAGTGCGTCGATATAGCGATGGTTGACTTTCGGTATTTAATGGGTAGGTAAAAGTGTTTTTATAATTTTTAATGTATTTATTACATAGGTGTTTAGTAAATTAATAAACTTAAGAGGTGTTTTTGTTAGTTTTCAAATCTTTATCTCTTTATTTCTACCAAACTTTTACTTTTTCAAAAATATTTTCCAAAATACTCAAATAAACACATCATTTGATTTTGATTTTCAGATTTCATTCATCTACCATGGTCACCATGTGGATAATTGAAGTAGTCGTCCTGCAATAATATTCCTCTATGAAATCGTATTGGACTAGAATAGCTTTTTTTTGGGATTGGATTGAATTTAGTACGGACCTGTACTACTTTTTAAGTGTCGTAACAAAGCATCTCAAGTCATCAATTCCGATTTGGTCACTCTTATCCCTCTTTTAGGTTTTTCAAATTAAGAAGAAACCAAAACCGTCTCTCATCTCTTAATCTTCTTTCTTTCACTGTGTTGGTCTAAACTTCCTATACAACAGTCAGTCACCATTGCAGAAGCTTCAATTGAAGCATCCTTTTAACTAACATACTCTCTGCGGCTTATGCATTGATAATGTAAGCATCCTTTGCTCAAAACACATTCACGATAGACTTCCTTCCATGCCGTAAAATCTCGTATATATTCCGGTGAAATTATCATCTCCGAATAGCTCAGACTCTCATCCGTTGGTCGATTATCGGAGATAGTAACATTATTTAACTCGTTATAATCAGTCTTAAACTTTTATCTTAAATCCCACGTTGTACATGAGGGTCACATTTTTCTATTGTTGGAATAACATGATTCCATTATCTTACTGTTTCATTTATTAATATATTTGACTATATAATTAAACTAATAAAGTCTTTCTTAATTAATTAATTAATTATTGGGCACATGCTTATAATCAGTGGCGGATCCAGGATTTTTGTCGAGGGGGGCCTCAACGGCTCTGTTATTATTTACCAAATAATTAGTGAAAACTTGAAAAAATACCAAACTTTAATAAAAAAAATAATACAATATTAAGAACCTGAGAAAAAAGAATATACAATAACACAATATTTTCTTACTTAAATAAATCTATGAGAAACAAAATTTTGAGTAAAAGTGTTGAGTAAACCTTGAACAAAATCTTCTTTTAATATTTTTATTTTTGGCTTTCAAATATTATAATATAAATTTTTATAGCGTTGATCAAACCTAGCCTAATTAAGTTAAAGTCAACCAAAATTTATATCAAGTCAACGTTACGTTGACTTTTAATATGAATTAATAAAAGAGGAGAAATTTTTTTAGTATAAAAATATATAGTAACTCAAATTTCTTTAATAATTTTAAACAACTAAACGGTGACGTTTAAAATGTAGAAAAGTGGTGGGTGAAGGATGAAGAATAACGTCCTTTAAAATATAGTTTAGGTTTTTATTTGAGAAAACAAATTCATTCTTAAACAGAAAATATAAAATAAACTCACAAGATTAATATCTTTTTCTCTCAGAGTAGAATAAAAAACCTCAAAGAGAAAAAAAATGATTCAATCCTTAAATAAACTAAATTGAAAGTAACAATACATATACCTAAAATCGATAAAACAGAAAACAGAGCTAATTATGACATCTTGAGTAGTGAAAATTTAACAATTTCAGTCTTCAAAAATTTTAAGAGAGTAAAGAATCTGGTGATAAAATCATAAAAAACAAGTAAAACTGTATAGAAAAACACTGAAAAAAGTTTTAAATTTCTAACATGATGTGGGCTTAGAATATATATATATAACAAATTTTTTTGTAGACCTAGATATACAATATGTATAATAGTTCTTATATATATATATATATATATATATATAATATATATATATGTTAATTAACAATATTTTTCGACTGTATATTAATTTTTTTTTTTGAAATTTTAGGGGGGGTGAACCCGCCCTACTTATAATCATATATTAATTATCACTCTGATCCAGACAACCCACGTTTGCCATTAAAAATAAAAATGGAATTAACCCACGTTTTTTTTTTTTTTTTTTCCAATGTAACAATTTGACCATAGTAGTAGTTACAAAAATATGAACAAACTCTAGCAGGTGATTTAGATTTCCACGAAAGTATTTTTTATAAAAGAAAAAAAAAAAAAACTTAATCAGTACGAAAGTATAATTTTCCTTTTGAAAAGTATTAAAATCAAGGAATTTAATGTTTATCCAGAAAGTATAGTACTAATTAATGAAGTTAAATGACTGTAACGTAATGATTATTGTATTAATTAACCTCTAGATAACCATTGATTAGTTTTAATTAATTTCTATCTACTTTGCCAGCTTGTTGATTGCTTGCATTTAATAAATAATCTCAACTAATATTCAATAGGAGCTGTTTATTAATTATTACTAATTATATTGCACATGCATGAATTCATAACCAAGGAAATGGTAAAAGGAAATAAAAATTATAGAACTAAATACAATTGTAAAAGGATTCGGGTAGAATTCACTCTTAAAAACTAGTTTAAGGAAAGAGAGAGTCTAACCACATATATACACCATAATAGCCTATCAAATTTTACGAAATGGGATAAATACAACTTTTCACGTTCGACGTACACAACCAGAGTTATAGAGTGGACAAGTACAACTTCTAACGCACCCTCTCTCATGCTCAGTATGCACGGCCAAAGTCTAAACCTATCATTATCTAAAATAAACGTAATTTTGATACCATGATTATCAAATGTAACCAATAAATTTTGATAAATATTTTGTTTTTTTTTTTTTAAATTAGGGTACCCCACAAAATTGTATTGTATTACTCATAATATTTATTTTTATTGACCTTTATTATCACTTCTCTCTTCATAATCTCTATATAAATGGAGAGTTTTGAGAAACTTTCTCATCCATATCAACAATTCAACGTTCATCATAATCTCAAACAATGTCTTCTTCTTCCTCATCACCAACCTCTGAACTTCCACTGAAACCAATCCCAGGCAACTATGGCCTACCATTCTTTGGTCCCTTAATGGATCGTCTGAACTACTTCTACTTCCAAGGCGAAGATAAGTTCTTCCAGGACAAAATCAACAAACACAATTCCACCATTTTCAAAACCAACATGCCTCCTGGTCCTTTCATTGCCTCTAACCCCAAAGTCACCGCCGTCCTCGATGCCATTTCATTTTCCGTCCTCCTCGACACTTCCAAAGTCGAGAAAGTCAACGTTCTGGACGGTACTTTCCTCCCTTCTTTATCCTTCACCGGTGGCTACCGTGTTTGCGCCTATCTTGACCCCTCTGAACCCAACCATTCCTCTCTCAAATCTTTCTTCTTTTCTTTACTCGCAAAGAAGCACGACCAGTTCATACCTCTCTTTAGAACATGCTTATCCGAGCTCTTTATCGACATTGAAGAGCAAATGTCCAAAGAAGGCGAAGCATACTTTAATACTCTTGGTGATTCCATGGCTTTCAACTTCTTTTTTCGCCTTTTCTGCGATAAAAGCCCCGTTGATGCCCAGATTGGCTCAAAAGGACCAAAACTTTTTGACAAATGGTTGTTTTTGCAGCTTGCTCCTCTTATAACCCTCGGGTTGCCGAAGTTTCTGAACCTTGCAGAAGACTTGTTGCTGCATATGTTTCCATTGCCTTCCGTTTTAGCAAAGTCTGATTATCAGAAACTTTATGATGCTTTCAACAACTACTCGGATCCAACTCTCGATGAAGCTGAGAAATTCGGAATTAAACGTGATGAAGCTTGTCATAATTTAGTATTTCTAGCTGGATTCAATGCATACGGTGGTTCAAAAACTCTATTTCCTGCTTTGATCAAATGGGTTGGATTAGCAGGACCGAAGTTACACCGCCAGCTTGCTGATGAAATCAGGACCATTGTTAAAGCTGAAGGTGGAGTCACTTTCTCATCCCTGGAAAAAATGGTCCTCACTAAGTCAGTTGTTTATGAAGCATTGAGGATTGAACCTCCGGTGCCGTACCAGTACGGCAAGGCCAAGGCGGACATGGTGGTGAATAGCCATGATGCAGCTTTTGAGATCAAGAAAGGCGAAATGATCTTCGGATATCAGCCGTTGGCGACCAAGGATCCTAGGGTTTTTGAAAATCCTGAGGAGTTTGTGGGGAATAGGTTTTTAGGGGAGGGAGAGAAGCTGTTGAAGTACGTATATTGGTCGAATGGGCGCGAGACGGCGGAGCCAACGGCGGACAACAAACAGTGCCCTGGCAAGAACTTGGTGCTGCTGCTATGTAGAGTTATGTTGGTGGAGTTGTTTCTTCGTTATGATACGTTCACCATTGAAGCTGGGAAATTGTTGCTGGGATCTTCTGCAACGTTCAAGTCCTTGACCAAGGCCACAAGCATTTAATCTTAATCAAATTAATTTCATGTAACTTTCAATACGCTAATTGAATTTATTGTTGAATATAATTCATATTTCAGGATTGCAATTTATTTATATTTGCTGAACGAATGCTATCACTCTTCCATGTTTGCTACTCTACAAAACCCCTCCTACGTTGACTCTTGTTAACTCGCCGAATGCCGACTGAGAAAGTAAAGTATATTTTGGGTATTAACGGAATATAAACTTTGGGTAAAAAAGTGATATTTTGAAACTTTTTGGGTGTATGGTCATTGTTAAATGGGGATCGAAAGTTGAATGCTTCTTCCTAGAGCCTTCAATATATTTATATATTTCAAATTGCAAAGGGCAGCAGGGCTTTAATTGGGTAGAGCCAGCTCAAGTCGTTGTTTATAGAGTCAATTTCGATTCTTTCTTGATGAGAAATTATATAAAACAGTAAAACATAGAACATGGCACGCAGTTGATGATTCTTTATCATACGAGTCAATGGACTTCTCACATGGATTCCCAACTTGCCACATGAGCTTCGCTCAGTTACAGATTTATATCAAGGAAATAAATATTCATGTTTGTTCTGAAGACTGGATTCGATCTGTATATATATTTGAGTAAAGGAGGTTGGACGTTCATGGTATACTTAGCCAGTACTGGTTTAATTTGAAAGCAAAAAGCCATAAGTAGCTACATAAACTTCCTGCTTTCCTTGCAGGTAATATGCATGGGAGAGACCCATTGCTGGCCTGATACCAAAAGAGTAAAATAAGATTCTATAAGCTTCTGAGTTTGAGTTCTCTCACGCACTAATAGGGGTGGTCATTGGGGTTCTTACTCGACCGACAATTCTAGGGCGGCTCGAGGATCAGGAGCGGATATAGAGTAATACACAACCCACAAATAAATAAAAAATATATTAATGCGTAATTTTTTTTCCTTTTATGGCAATTTCGACTAGAAAAACAGAATATAAATGTTATATGCAATTAGTTTTTTAATTTGACCAACCATAACAGAAATTTATGGATTTGCTATTGTCGGGGATTAGTTGAGGCCAATGAATAGAATGGTGGTGATCGATTGAATATTCGCCATCGGAATCAACCGAAAATTAGCTAAAACAAAAAACTCTATCTTTGCGGTAGTCGGCAATCGACGAGAAATCAGGTATCAGAGTGAGAGAGGTTTTGTAGAGAGGATATCGAAAGTTCGAATGATGATGACATACAAAATTTTTGTCGTCAAAATCAGTTTTGAGTAGTGACAGAATATTAACTTTGGGTGAGAAAATGGTATTTTGAAACTTTTTGGGTGAAAAAGTGTCATTAAGACAAACCTTGGGTGGGAAAAAGTCGTTTACTCGGATTTTAAACTGCAATAATTTATCTGCAACTTGGGAGTCTATATCACATAAACGTTAACATGGATTTGGAGCCGAAAGTTAATCACCAATAAACTTGATTGATTGAAGCCAATTAAACCCATTAATTAACACCCTTTAACGATGTCTACATTATCCTATTGGATGTGGTTTATACTTTGTACGGGGTTAACGCTAATACATTCGGGGGTTCCGTTTCATGATAAGTTCAATTGGTAAATAGACTTGAAGTTGGTTTGTAAATATTTGAGCCTGTAACAGTTTAATTCAAATGTGATTAGGTTTGTTATTACCCTAGTGTAGCAGTGGAAAACCTAACGTGAGAAATATTAAAAATAGAGAGAAATAGTGAATTGTCGATACTTTTTATTATTGTATTTTATATCCCTGAAAATTCAATAAAATTACTCTATTTGATATTGGCGTAAGTTCCTTCATTGAAAGTAAACCAAGGTAAATCGACTGTTTTTTTTTTTTGGTTACTTTTCTAATTGTGTATTTAGACAATGATTTCAACACAGACATAATACCATATTAATAAATAAATAAAATATTTATAAAAAATAAAGAACTATAAGTATTTATGCATGATAAACCCTAGTCCACTTTGCAACAGAAGTAATTATCACATTCGATTAGAATTTATTTTTTTTCTCTTGATATTCTAAGGAGCCATGGCCAATTGGTCAGAACTTGATCATGATCTTTTGGTTGAAATTACAAATCGAATATCATCAATCTCTGATTTTTTTTTTTTTGTTTTTTTTTGTTTTTTGTTTCCGTGAGGTTAGTTCTTCATGGAGATCAGCTGCAGACAAGAAAAAGTAACTTCAGATATAAATCTCCATTGTTGATGCTCGCACCAGTGAAAGGCAGCTTTCAACCGGTGAGACTCGTCAAGTTCCGTTCCCAATGCAAGCCAAACTCTAAACGATGCTAAAATCCAACCACCTTAACTCCCCTCACATGAAGACCTTCAAAGATTGGAATCGTCACCATATTGTTAAGATATATGCTCATTTTATTTCTAAAGGTGTTATATCGAGTCCTCCATCGACATCGACATCGTTATCGAAATCTTCTTCTTCTTCGAAATCATCATCAAGATTTACAGTGATGGTTATTTATGGTGAAATAGGGCTAGCTGTTGGCATATGCTAAGGAAGGAGATAAAGCTTGGACCACAGTAGAAACATGGCACAGTCGTTATTTTGATGTTAATCATTTTGAAGATAACTTACTAGATGGAGGGAGTCCTCCTTTATTAGTCCAAAACGTCCCCAGTTTGCTTCCAATGTGGGTTCTGCAACATTCTTCCCCACCCGATCCTTGTGACACTCTCATCACAGGTAGGGCTCCTTGTCTAACTATCCACCTTACTCTCGAGTGGATCCACAATCACACGTGGATGTCCCTCTGCATGGCTGCTTGACGAGATAGGAAAGGCCGATTGGGTTTGCAATTGGGTCTACTTTGATACCATTTGTCATAAGTTGGGTGTTTCCCACCTAAAAAGCTAACATATTAGATTGACGGTCGCACCTTTATAAGCTTAAGACTTCCCCAATCCCTTTCAAAAGAAAAATATTAATTAAACCCTAATAATAATGTCCCTTTCCTTTGAAACTCTTCTACTAAACTTATACGCCACAACGAAATAATTGTCTACTTAAAAATACCAACCCCTTTCAAAAGAAAAAAAAAAATTCATAATTATTTTTTAATTAAAAAATTATTGTATCATATTTTAAAGAGAAAATTCTTTGAACCCCCTGAGATATATCACATGTCTAATAAACCCCTCTCATTCCAAAAATAGCTCTCAACCCCCGTTATCTGTCAACTGTTAACAATTAATGTTAACAGAGAAAGGGCAAATAGGTAAATGAACCGACTCTTTCCTCTGCTTTTCTTTTTCCTTTTTCTATTTTAAATTAATTATTTTTTTTCTTGATTTTGTATTTGCTGTAGAGAATGGATTTTAGTGATTTTGTTTTACATTTGTGGGTTATTTTTTTATTTGGAATTGGATGAGGGTAGATGGGTTAGGGTTACTGGATGATTATTAGGCATTTGGAGTTGGATTTTGGTGGATGGGTTTTACTGTTATTTACAGTTTGGTGTTAGATGGTGGTCTTTAATGGTGGTGGGGAATAGGGATTTAATGTCCTGAAAATGAACTCTTTTAAATATTTGATGTGATATGTCTCCTTTGGTTAATTTGCGATTGGATAATTGTCATTTGTCTTCTATGTTCTTGTTCATTGAGGGAATCGATTTTTGTCTCCATATATAGACTATGGAGGATTATGTTCAGGGTTTTAGATTAATTATTTTGATAAAACAAAATTATTAACAATATTGTAATTTGAGTTCTTATCCCAATTATTGGTGTGGGGGCACTGGGGCTGCAACGGGTTCGGTGGAGGGGATTGAGCTGGCAGACTTGGGGAAGAAGGCGAGCAAGAACCTAGTGACCATCTCTATTAATATTTAAGGAGACTCGAACTCAGAAATTTATGGAACCTTATTTTACTCTTTTACTATCAAGCCAGTAATGGTTCTCTCCCATGCATGCTACCTGCAACGAAAGCAGGAAGTTTATGTAGCTACTTATGGCTTTTTTCTTTCAAATTAAACCAGTACTGGCTAAGTACCATGAACGTCCAACCTCCTTTACTCAGATATATATCCAGAATCCAGTCTTCAGAACAAACATGCATGAATATTTATTTCCTTGATAAATCTGTAACTGAGCGAAGCTCATGTAGAAAGTTGGGAATCCATGTGAGAAGTCTATTGACTCGTAAGATAAAGAATCATCAACTGCTGCCAAGTTCTGTGTTTTACTGTTTTATATAATTTTTCATCAAGAAAGAATCGAAATTGACTCTATAAACAACAATGACTTGAGCTGGCTTTACCCAGTTAAAGCCCTGCTGCCCTTTGCAATTTGAAATATATAAATATATTGAAGGCTCTGGGAAGAAGCATTCAACTTTCGATCCCCATTTAACAATGACCAAATTGTTTGTTAGTCAAGGATATATCCATGTCTAACAAGCAGAAAAACTTGTTATCAGGATTTTAATAAGTATACATCTTTTTCCCACCCAAGGTTTGCCTTAATGATACTTTCACACCAAAAAAGTTTCAAAATACTACTTTCCCACTCAAAGTTTATATTCCGTTAATACCCAAAATACATTTCACTTTCTCAGCCGGCATTTGGTGAGTTAACACGAGTTAAGGTAAAAGGAGTTTTGTAGAGTAGAGGCCGATGGATAAAATGGTGATGATCGATTGAATATTCGTAATCGGAATCAACCGAAAATTAGCTAAAAACAAGAAATCCTATCTTTGCATAGTCAGCAATAGACGAGAAATCAGGTACCGGAGTGAGAGAGGTTTTGTAGAAAGGATATCGAAGGTTCAAATGATGGTGACGGACATAATTTTTGTTGTCAAAATCGGCTTTGAGTAGTGACATAATATTAACTTTGGGTGAGAAAATGGTATTTTGAAACTTTTTGGGTGGGAAAGTGTCATTTACTTGGATTTTAAACTGCAATAATTTATCTGCAACTTGGGAGTCTATATCACATAAACGTTAACATGGATTTGGAGCCGAAAGGTAATCACCAATAGACTTGATTGATTGAAGCCAATTAAAACCAATTAATTAACACCCTTTAACGATGTCTAAATTATCCTATTGGATGTGGTTTATACTTTGTACGGAGTTAACGCTAATGCATTTGGGGGTTCTGTTTCATTATAAGTTCAATTAGTAAATGAACTTAAAGTTGGTTTGTAAATATTTGAGCCTGTAACAGTTTAATTCAAATGTGATTAGGTTTGTTATTACCTTAGTGTAGCAGTGAAAAACCTAATGTGAGAAATATTAAAAATAAAGAGAAAGAGTGAATTGCCGATACTTTTTATTCTTGTATTCTATAGATTTTTTAAACTCAATAAAATTACTCTATTTGAATGTTAGACGTAGTTCCTTCATTGGGAGCAAACCAAGGTAAATCGACCATTTTTTTTTTTTTTGGTTACTTTTCCAATGTTCTAAAAACCAGACTGGTTTGACCGGCAACCGATGGCATATCCAGTCCGGAATCCTTTAAAAACCGTTAATTGCATTCAAACCGAATTGCTCAATCCCGTCGGATTCTGGCATCGTTCGACGGAGAAATCACCATCATTAGACTTGACGGCATCTCCACGACAAAACCCAGCCATTTTCAATCGCTGTCATCCAGTCGTCGTCGCTCGCTGTTCACCTAAAGTTCACGCGATCGTTGGGCTTCTTTTGTCGATTCCGACGAGTTCCGGCACCAATGGAACTCCCTAGTACCACCATCAAATTTGTCGGCACCTATACATCAAAAGCCCCATGATTCCAAACCTCGATTGGCCGTTGATCATCGTTGCCGCCACCATCACTACTCCCTTCACGCGACAGGGGTTTTTGGACAGATTTCAAACTTAAGGGAGATTATAGGGGTGTTTTTGATGAATTTCAAACATTTAGGGACTAAATTTTTTTCACAGAATACGGTCTAACCGACCAATCCAACAGATCAAACCGAAAACCGGACCCTTGAACGGGTCATAGTCCGATCTAGTTTTCGGAACATTGTACTTTTCTACTTTTCTTATTGTGTATTTTGGTAGTAATTTCAACACATACATAATATCAGATTAATAAATAAAAAAAACTATTTGTATTTGTATTTGTATTTCTTCAATTTGACTACTTTCAGAAATTGGGAAGAGTATCAACTTCAGTTAGCAATATTACTTTTATCAGAAACATAATACCAGATTAATAAATAAAAAAAATATTTATAAAAAATAAAGAACTATATATAAGTATTTATGCATGCATAAACCCCAGTCCACTTTGCAACAGAAGTAATTATCACATTCGATTAGAATTTATTTTTTTTCTCTTGATATTCTAAGGAGCCATGGCCAATTGGTCAGAACTTGATCATGATCTTTTGGTTGAAATTACAAATCGAATATCATCACTCTCTGATTTTTTTGTTTTTTTTTTTTTTGTTTCCGTGAGGTTAGTTCTTCATGGAGATCAGCTGCAGACAAGAAAAATAACTTCAGATATAAATCTCCATTGCTGATGCTCGCACCAGTGAAAGGCAGCTTTCAAACGTGGCTTCTTTAGTCTTTCAACCGGTGAGACTCGTCAAGTTCCGTTCCCAATGCAAGCCAAACTCTAAACGATGCTAAAATCCAACCACCTTAACTCCCCCACATGAAGACCTTCAAAGATTGGAATTGTCACCATATTGTTAAGATGTATGCTCATTTTATTTCTAAAGGTGTTAGATCGAGTCCTCCATCGACATCGTTATCGAAATCTTCTTCTTCATCCAAATCATCATCAAGATTTACAGTAATGGTTATTTATGGTGAAATAGGGCTAGCTGTTAGCATATGCTAAGGAAGGAGATAAAGCTTGGACCATAGTAGTGTTGGAGTTGTCGACTACTTCAGCATTAATGGATAACGCAGACGCATTCGTTTTGGTGGTCCTAACATCACTTTTAGTACTTGGTCTTAATTCTGAAGCAAGAATATATATAAATATAAACTCTTAGCTCAAAGTCAGAGATTCGGGCTATTCTATTTGCAATTAATTTTCTTTTATGGTCATGCTTTTATTTGTATGTTTATCATTTACATAGTTTGTTCCGGGGTCATCAAACTGGTATTTCATTATTTCTGACTATTATAATTTCTTGTTCAATTTGCTGCACATTGTTAATATCTATTTTAAATATTTTTAAAAGAGGTTGATGAATTCCATACGGGTGTTGTTTCCTAGTACAATGTGACAATTTTAACAAGAAAATTTAGATAAGCATCCAGAATCCCAGAACTTTTGGTCTTAAAACTGTATAATTTAGCATGAGAAGTATCTACATTTGTTTTGTTTATACCGCCAGGTAAAATTTCGGTGCTTCCCTGGAGAGTTGAATAAGGACATAACCTCATGGCATCTTTAGTTGCATAACATGTTTCGACATATATATCCAACATGCCAGCAACGGTTTTGGAGTAACAAATTTCAACCCTTTTGCCCACATAAACACAGTACTTCCGAGCTATATATATAGAGAAATTAGGCTAATTAACCAATATTCAAACCATTTAATACATATTAACTTAGTCGTGCTTCTCTTATTCCAAGTCATCCATTCACGGATCGCTAATATACAGTGTCAGGCAGCATGATAAGCCCCAAGAAGCTCATGACCAGGCTGGTGAGGAAGAGCCAGAAGATGGAAGAAGTGAATGCGGGTAATTCTAATAAATCATCAGTCGCTGAGAAAGGCCATTTTGTTGTCTACACCATTGATCAAAAGCGCTTTGTGTTTCCCTTAATGTATCTCAACAATGACATCTTCCTTGAGCTCTTAAAGGTGTCTGAGGAGGAGTTTGGACTATCAAGTGATGGTCCTATTACATTGCCATGTGATGCAGTCTTCATGGATAAATTAGTCTCACTCATTCAGCAAGGTGTTAGTGAAGGTCTCAAGAAAGCTCTGCTTGATTCGATTACTGCCAGCCACTGCTCATTATCTGCTTCTTTCCATCAAGTACACGCAGGCCAACTTTCAGTTTGTGGCTACTGAATTGTATTATAATCCCAATTGGGTTCTGTAAATGAATGGCACTTCTGTTTATATATTGTTTTTGCATTATACATCTTTTGATAATTCAAAAGAAATTTTCAGTGTAAAATAGTAACTATGAAGTATGAATCAGTATGGCATATCAATAGAAAACATTAAGGATCAACTCCTTGAAACTTTTCTGAAGTTCTTGTGCATGCTAGAAACAAATAAATATTTTGCACTTAATCTCAAATTGCTTAATGAGGAATTCAAATTTAGGAAGTTCTGTTAAAACCGATCCCCAGAGGCTCTGGAAAACCATTGGCTTTAAGAATCATATCAAGTCTCTTCAAATAAGTAAAGTGAGCATTAATCTTACAAGGACATATAGATAGGCTCAGAAAGAGAAAAGAAACTCATTCTACTGAACTTACACGCCCTTTGGAAGTTAAGCCTAATTCCCAAAATGGAAAGTTCACCGTTGTGTGCTAGTCTTAGAACAACCAGGTTTTACAGTTGATTAAATGATGCTAATGTTGTAGGTTAGGCCATGATTTGACTATGTAGAATGAGTTGCAACTTGTGTTGGCCTTAAGTGCCGGCAGATGCTTGGAGCCATCAAGGTTGTGCTCTTATTTAACTCAAATTCCCAATCAAGGTGGGAAGAGAGGAAAAATGTGACTTAATGGAGAACATTAGCCAATTCTCTAAATTTCTTCATGTACGTTGGTAAAACTCCAAGTCCCTTGTACCACTCCTAGTTTTTGCTAAATTGTATTTTATTGCGTTATACTCCTTTCTGGTCCAAATTAAGTGCATTGATAAATAACATAATTCACTATGAAATCATTGTTGAATAACAGAATTCACTATGAAGATGCATAAGACAGTAGGAAAAGACAAATAAAATACTTGGGAAAAATCCAAAGAATGGGGTCTGGCAAAACTAACTCATTTGTCCTATCTGAGGAACATTATGTACAATATTATAAAAACTTGAAGGAATCATGGCAACTGAAGATCTGAAGAGGACAAATTTATTCGGGTAGTTGGGTTTGAAAGAAGCTGCAAATCATGTTATTTTAATTTCCTTTTGTTGGTTTCTATGTCTCTTTCGTATTCAGTATTTAAATCATATAGTCTAACATGGATAATCACAATTGCTTTGCATTGTAAGTCACAGCAAAAGGAAAGCACATGGAGGATTTTGGTCTAACAAGAGCAGAACATAGTTTGAATAACCATGTGATTTTGTTTGATTTCAGTTTTCTCTTAGGAATTAATTACTTAACCTAAGTGGCCCTAAGAATTTTAATGCAACACTCATGGCAGAAGAAAACAAATGCATAACAACCAAGTAATAGTATCCGACATGGGGTATTCATGCTTAACAATAATAAAAACATATTCTCTATATCCAAACCATCTATCTAGTTGATGATCACATGGCCTTGTTTCCAACAAGCACAACACAAAGAAGACAACAATAAGTGATCCTGGCCAGACTTGTATATATATATGAAACAGCTGACCACAAACATAAGCTCTATAACGCAAACTTGTAGCTTGTGCAAGGTCGAAGTATAATATTTCCAATCATGATCAACCCAAAAAGGCTTGTTGAACTCGCAAGAAAGTGGCAGAGAATGGCTTCTGCAAAGTGTAACAGAATCTCGTATCCAAGAAGTTTTGTTGCTAATAAAGGGCATTTTGTTGTGTACACAACTGATAAGAAAAGGTTCATGGTTCCCTTGGAATACCTCAGTCAAAATGTCTTCAAGGAGCTCTTAAGAATGTCTGAGGAAGAGTTTGGTCTTCCAAGCCATGGAGCCATCACATTGCCTTGTGATAGTACTTTCTTGGAGTATGTCATTTCATTGGTCCGAGGACTCATGCCTGAAGAATTGGAGAATGCTTTGCTCACTTCCATAGCAACATGTCACTACTCGGCATCAACTTCTCTTGTTCAAGCACAAAGCTACCAACAAACACTCTTATTTGGCTATTGAAATTTGTTCATAGAAATAACTGTAGATATATTGACTGTAAACAGGTTATACACTTATTGATGAAGTATTTTTATAAACGGAATTTCATTCTTTATTATTAACCTTGTAAATCTAAAATGGAAGGTTTTCTGTCATGAATTGACTGTGAATGAAAATTGTCATTTTCTGATAAATATTTACAGTAGCTCATAGTGACTTACTTCCTGAACCGGTAAATGCAGATTGTAAATTTAATGAATCATTTAATTTTATTCGAGCTTCCTAAGATCTATTTAATGAGTGAACCTAAATTAAACTTATGATACTCAGAAAAAAATCTGCATCTAATCTGTTAAACTCATGAAAGTAGAGAAAGTTTAACTAGGCATAGAGGGCAGGATTTCTTGAATCTGGCCAGTTCCAAAGTCCTAATTATAGGGAAGCTAAGTTTGTTATGTTCCCTCCATATAATTGATTTCTCCATCTTAACTTTCCTTCTCTATTTCACTTTTTGCAATAAGGTTCTTGACTCCTGATGATCTTCATCTGGAATTAGTATCTGGTAAATTAATATTTTACTTCAAGAAGATCATCTCACAGTTGCTATTAGTTTCTTAACCTACTTTGAATGTAGTTCCAGTTCTCATGAGTACTCTTCTAGCTTATATTGATTCTTGTGGTTCTTAGAGAGGATCTATAACCTCTGTAACTTATTGTTATAAACTCTTTCTTAGTCCACAGTAACAGCATTGATAAATCACAGAATTCACTATAAGATACATAGGACAGTAAGAAAAGACAAGCAAAATCCTTGGGAAAAATATTCCAAGGAATGGGGCTTGGTAAAATCATTTGGTGCATATGAGGAATATTATGTGCAACATAATGAGCTTAGTTGATGGAATCTTGGTAGTGAATATCTAAATAGACAAAATTATTTCCATAATTTGATTCAAGTAGTTGGTTTGAAAGAAGAAGCAGCCAAATTTCAAATCATGGTAATATGTTTGCCTTTTGTTGCTTTCTCTGTCTCGTTTGTGTTCAGTATCTAAATCATTTACTCTAACATGGACACTTACAATAGTTTTGCATTGATAGTCACTGCACAACGAAAGCACATGGGGTTGTGCCTTGCAATTACTGCTCTAAAAATTTGGCAGATTCTTCTAACCTTGTTGGTTTACATAAACATGCAAGATTTTGTGGCTCTGACCATATCTAGTCATAGGGTCCTGCTTTTATCAAGAGATTTTTTTCTGAAATTATCAAAACATGGTTTTTGGATAAGCATATGATTTAGTTTTATTTCTATTTTCTTAGGAAATTAATTGCTTAACTTAGGTGGCCCTAAGAATTTTAATGCATCCCTCTTTGTATAAGAAAAGAAATGCGTAACAACCATGTGCTACTGACCTACATGCAGCGTTGATGCTTAACAACAATCAAAATCCATGGCCGATATCCCAACCACCCATTCAGTTACTGATCACATGGCCTTATTTCCAATTAACACAACATAAAAATGATAACAATAAGTCATCATGTCTATACTTGTGGACATATATAGCACAGCTAGCCACTGACTTCTGTAGAGCTCATAGTTGTGCTTAAGATTAATAAGCTCTATGTTGGAGTTGTCGACTACTTCAACATTAATGGGTAACGCAAACGCATTCGGGGGTCCCGCTGCCTGGTGAGCGGGCGAGGGTCGTGGGGGCAACGCCCCCGAGCCTCTAGGCGGTTTTGGGCTTTTTCATGTATAATCGTTGTAAGATTTCTTGTAAGTTACTAATTCCTTATTAGGTTGGGCTTAGGAATATGAATCTTTGTAAAACTAGGTTTAGTCTTTTAAACCTAGTATATAAACATATTTTTCTCTTGTTATGGAATGATAGCAAATCATAGGGCAATTCATTCATTGTAAATGAGAGAGGTGAGGCATATTGCAATAATATTGATTCAGCTGGACGTAGCCCACATTGGGTGAACTAGGGTAAATCGCGCGTGTTATTTTCTTTGTTTATTGTTAGATTTCTTTTATAGTTATATTTTGTTCCTCTTGTTGCCTCTATTTCATAGGTTTTGTTAGATTGTAATTTAGAGATGGCGGGATCAAAGGTTGAGATTGAGATGTTCGACGGCAAACGCTTCGAGCTTTCGAAACTGCGGATGGAGGATCTACTCGTTGATAGGGATCTGTGGGGTGTAATTGTGAATGATAGGCCGACAGTCAGGACTGCCATTGTTACTACGAGTAAAATGTCTGGAACTGCATTGTCAAGTTCGCCTAGGTCTAAACCTGCAATGCCACCTGAAGGAGAATTATCAGCGACTGATCGTGTCGCACTTGCTGAATGGGACAAGATGGATCGGAAAGCTCTCAAAACTCACAAATCACACAACTTAAGTAGGAATCCTTACCTTAGGAAGCCTTAGGTTGCTTTTCTACCCCAAATCACTTCAAAATCCCCTTGGAATTCCTTGATCAAAAGAGAAGAGAAGTTGAGAGGAGTAAGGATGGGAAGTTGCGTTTGAGAAGAAGAAATGAGGGGTCTCTTTGATTCTAATTCCTTTTAATGAAATATATACACAATCATTCCCATTTTGCCCTTATTCTTCTTTGGGCATTCCATCCATATCCTTTGATTCATTACAAACTCACCCCCATATCAACATATTCTCCATGAAAAATCCTTACAATTAACTCCCCACTTTTCCTGCTAATTAGGGGTAGAATGGTCAAAATGCCCTTAGGGAAGAAAATATCTAAAACTCAATCAACATTAAAAACGGCCCGTCGCCGCGGCGAAACCGTCCAGAGAGTTTCCGGTGGTTTCAACGCATCTTCGCCGCGGCGAAGATTCTTCTTCGCCCCGGCAAAGCTCGGCATACAACACTTCTTCCATTTTTAACCCATTTCAAGGCTATTAATCCACACAACACTCATACTAATGTCAATCAAACAATATTAACAAAAACCAACTCGATTGAGGGCGAAAGAGGAAACAATAACTACGTACCTCAAGTGGG